ATGTATATTATCAAGTTGAACAATAAAATGCATTCTTTCTGAACCCCACCTCTTTTCTTAATTATCGTGCAAAAGGCAAATTCACAAAGACTTGTAACCAGACACCAAACGAAAGATTCATAAAATGTTTTGCAAATATTTTCAGTTTTGTTATGTATTGCAGTCGCCCGGATTACTGGGGCACACACAACGTCTAGAAATGCACAAACTGTGGACATTGCGCGAGAAATAAACACTTCATATAAGATAAAAACAAATTTATTTCTGCACATAAGTGAAAACAACGGGACAATTGCAAAATACATAAATCTATTACATGCGTTTGTGTGTAATAACTTTATACAGACTGTCTCTAGGAGTATTCTGTAGAAACTCTATCGTGTCTTATTTAATTACACAATTACTACGGGTGTGTAGTGTGGTAAAGTCAAGTCTCCAATTTTTATAATTTATAATCATCTTACAAAGTATTACCTCTCCCTAACATAAAAACACACTGCATAAAAAATAAAAATATTAAATAAAGGCCCTTCAACAAGAGTTATGATAGCCATCTTAACACGATTTTTATTCAATGACTAATAAACTAAAATACACAATTATAATAATAAAATATAAATAGCTTAATCTCAAAACTAACATTTAATTTATAAAGACTCGTATTTTTGCTTTGACATTATGTATATGAATTTTTCTACTTGCACAATTGTATTTTATTGTATTGATTTCGATTTGTAACATTTGCGTTATTATAATCAATAATTATAACACTGGGTGCACGTGTACATGCATTTCTCTATACATTTGGTCGAACATCAGTTTTTACATGTACCACAACTTCTATCTAGTCCATGCAATAAAAACATATTCTGGCACGAAGCGGTGTAACAGTATCCTGAGTGTCAAGGCACAGTAAAAGTTAGCTTGTTAAATATTAAAATATACCTTGTGATGGGGTCACTTTTACGAGCCCTGAGGAACAGCGGCCATGTTAGGCTCTGTTCACATGAAAATCTATTTTCTAAAAATCTAAAAATCTATTTTCGTATCTTGTGATCACAGTCTGTGCCCTGAATACCCCGCGGTGCAATTACTGGCGGGGCGAGCGAGTTACTTCCAAAGCTGTAATTAATTCTCGGCTGCGCTCGGAGGAGATTCTGATACCTTGACGCATGCGCAGTAGGAAGTTACTCCAACTTGTTTTGCACTACCACTAGCCATATTACGCGTCTGTATGCTTGAGTCGTCACAACTCAACTGATGAACTTCACAGCTTAGAGATACTACTGCGCATGCGTCAAGGTATCAGAATCTCCTCCGAGCGCAGCCGAGAATTAATTGCTGAGTCATCATACAATGGCATGCATTACAAAACCCTGGTTCTAAGTACTTGAGACATTTTCTACTACCAATGCGGCGTGGTGAAATGAAATGTCCGCCCGGCTGACAGCTATTTAGCGTGAACCCCCAGGGAGTTAGGTCGATCCAATGTAGGTCGATCTAATCTATGAGAATGGGGTGTTAGTCTCGCGATTAAGACACTGCCATGGAGACTTAACACGCTTTGCAAGAGAAATAAATTAAAACGAGTTAATTATCTTTACAAATTACGAAGTTGAGTAATATGGCTTCACCAAAGGCGGCAGGCGGCAGTGAAAGAATACCCCCCCCCCTTCTGTCCATATCAAAGAAGATGACGACTCCTATCTCTTAATCCATATAGCTCTCCCTCTGGCGTTCTCCTCGTCTGTCCGTAGAGCTGCCCGAACAGTGAAAGATTGTATCTTGCACGCCACCATGGACAACACTTGAATAATGCCTACAGCGACAAAAACACCACATGTCCACGTGAACACCTCTGAGCCGCTTGTCTTTTTAGTTACCACTGCCGCTATTAACCACGTGATGTTTATTGCCATGACAACCGGTAACAGGATGCTACGTAATTTACCCAAGTCTTTTCCAATCTCGTCCCCACTCAATCCGAACTCGGTTGAGGTCCCAATAACTGTGTTGCGTAATGTTTCCCAGAATTCCGTTTCGTTATCGGACAACTGTTTTAAATATTGTACATGACAAGAGCACGTGACCTCGACTTCTTCTTTCATGTCAACTTTTTCTTCATTTTTGGTGTCCCAGTCGATCTTTTCTGACTCGGGGCGTTTCAATGGACAGATGGTGGGGACATCTCGCGGCCGGTTCTAAAACGAAATAAAGTTACGTAGAATACATTAAAGGTACATATGAACCGAGGATCGGTGGAGAGTGGATTCCCATTAACACATATAAACCACTTCTATAAGTTTCTTATACGACTCAATTCAATTTGACATGCGAAGGGATAAACTGAACAGATCGCTCAATCAGCTGTTAAAGAGCTTTAGACTGCTCCTTTCTTTAAATTTTTGGTCAAAAATTTAACCTACTTTTGTGACCTACTTTTCTGCCCATTGACATACAGCATAGAATGCTAGCAGAAAAATTCGTTCAAACTTCATTTTCAGGTGAAATTATACAATGCCTTTTGGTAATTCTCTTAAATATACTACTTGAAATTATATGCTGGTATTTGGATGGCTTTTGTGGCCAAAAATTGACTCTGTATGCATCTTTAATACTCAGATTGCACGTGTTTCATTTAATGGTATAACGGAAAAAATATCACAAAAGTCAGTAAATCTATAAACATAATATCAAGACTTGACCAAAACTTTCACAAAAAATATATACAACGTTGAACTGAAATGCTCTCATTCCAAGAACAGCCGAGTCAATGTTTTAAATCAATATTTTATCATCTATACTCAAAGAGACCTAGTGTACAAGCCAGTAGTTAAATGGACGGTTGGTTTTTGTTTTAACACCAAAATGCCGGTCTCTTTCAATTACCATTATTATTATTATTATAATGGTAACAATACCATTACTATTATTATTATTATTATTATTATTATTATTATTATTATTATTATTGTTATTATTATTATTATTGTTGTTGTTGTTGTCGTTATAATTATTAATTAGTAAAACAAACTAATGTAATAATAATAATAATAATGATTATTAAAATAAAAACATTGATTATAATTATTATTATTATTATTGTTGTTGTTGTTGTTGTTGTTGTTGTTGTTGTTGCTGCTGACGTTATTATTATTAATTAGTAAAATAAACCAGTGTAACAATAATAATAATAATAATAATAATAATAATAATAATAATAATAATGACGATGATGATTGAAATAAAAACATAAATATTATTATTATTATTATTATTATTATTATTATTATTACTGGACCTCTCACCTGTTCTCGCGTACCCCAACTTTGGTCGGCCATGTTGCAATACATGTAAATCGGCAGCAGTATCTGCAAGGCCGGAAGAAGACTAAAATGAGGAATGGCTCGCAGTATGACGGACCAATGGTCCGGGTGCAACAATACCGAAAACAGGAACGGACTCAGAAAGATAAGGATGTTGATCCAATGCACTGGCATCTGTCCTATTTGCGGTGTTTTGTTGTGATTTCTCATAATTTGGTCCACTTGTCGCCATGTTTTGTTGATATTTTGCCCAGTGCTGTTGTCATTCTGCCCACTTTGATAATCAGCTAAAATAAAATATAATATACCTGTATCCGTTTACTGTCGATAAGGAAAAAATTCAATAACATTAAAGCAATAATAACTGTTCCTTTGACATTCAAAATTCCGCATGAAATACATTGTAAACAACGCATGAAAATATATTCTATTGTATTTTACCACTAAAACGGCCGTTATTGTAGTAAAACTAAAATCTGTGCTTGTCAATAGGGCTTTCGAAGCTTTCATCAAGGCATTCGTTGCTAATGACGTAATGGTGTCACGCGGATTCTCGCGTTCATTCGAGACCAAAATAACATATGGCGCCAAACGCATTAATGCGGACGCAGACGTAAGTTGCGAGATTTTGTACAGTGCGTCGGATAACAAAAAGCCCAGAACGGCACACATTGTGGATATTAATGTATTTTTAACAAAAAGACGAATATATCTCATGAATCTTATATAGTGTTGTTGTTGTCTGCTTTTCCCTCGGTTTTAAGTAGGTCAACAGTGACTATGCGATGTCAGAGAGAGCTCCGTCAGTTAAAATCTCTTAAGAGATTTTAACAAAAAACCGTACGTTTAGGAAAAAAACCCTGGATTAACTTTGAATGCAGGAATGGGGTCGCTGACCATTGGTAAGTACGGGAAAATTGCCGTTTACTCCAGGAAAATCCAATTTTTGGCCAAAATGAAGAGTTATTATGACTTTAAGCACTTGAATTTAAGATTATGCAAATGATATGAATATTTTATTAAAGATAATTATATTCAGTCCTTTTTGATAAAGTTTTCTCCTTTAGATCATTAAATAGTTAACATGCATCTGTCACATGGGGAGTTACATAACATTGACTTTTGTGCACAAAAATATGCTCACCTGCAAAACTCCCGCCATGAATATCGAAGGCCATTTCCACGGCGAGACACACAAAGATGAGTGAGATGAAGACTACAAGGAATGTGGTGGCCCGAATCTGCACAGAGCACCTTTGTCTGGTCACCAAACACAGCACGCCATAGCCAGTGCACACTGTCATCGCACATATTACACCAACTGTCACGTCTATCCCCTGAGCATCTAGACCAAGAGCCATTTGGAACATGAAAAACGCTGGACAAATGATTCTTAGCAGTAGCACTGTGAGTGAATAGCCCAAAAAGAAGACATTGAAGTTGGAGTTGGCATCCGCCAGCGTCAGGTATCTTGCAATAGACAACACAGTGTTGCTTAAAGTGGAGAGGTCCTAGCGCTTTCTTTGAGCGAAGAACTCGTCGTTCGACTCCGGGCAGAAGGTTTTGTTGGTGGAGGTTTCATTGTAGCCCACTTCCCAGCCTTTGCTCATCATTAAAAGCGACATCCAGCGGTCTTCACCTGAAAAACAAGGAAAACTCATGAATAAAAAGCCAACAATGCCCCTCATACCTTCATATAATAAATAAAAAAGAATATCCAGGAGCTCAAGAGTGTTCACACAATAACCATATACCCCATCCAAAGCTGTTTTGTGGACTGTGACCTCTGAACCCATTTCCGAGCTGCAATTTTCTCTTTGTTCCGCTTCTTCTACAATCTTAATGTTCTCTCCATAACTGAAGCTTGGACTTACCACCGAGCTTCTAATGTCTGTGATTTTGGCAACGGATTTGGATTAAATGAGTCTGATGAAATAGCGTAAAAGTATTGAGCTTCCATGGGCAATTAAAGTTTTGCTATACAAAGATCTAAGTCACTGTGTGCGACTTTAAACCAACTGTGAGGAATCATTTTTTGAAATATGTATCAATGCTACTACTCATTTCCCCATAGTGCAATGACACTGCCAACCTTGATATTGACAAATTTATAATCATCACATCACCCGTCCCCGCCCCCCCCCCCACCCCACCACACACACACACACACATTATCTGCTCTCAGTTTGGGTAAAAAAACTAGGCAGGTCCCCAGTTGATAGGTGGGAATATACCGTAGAAGAAAATGAAATACGGCATACCAAATATAACTAAATAACGAATGGATGAATAAATAGATATTATAATAAATTAAAATGAAAATAATTAGCATTATCACTCTTATTTCAAAGAAATTCAATAAAGATCGCCTTTTTAATCAAAAGTGCACATATTCGGTGCTAACACTAATTGATAACAATGAACTATTCACAAACCCATATCCTTCAGAAGGCTTTCGTAGCCGGAAGTGACGTGTGAGCTGTATTCATCCATGATGTCATGTAGTGCCGCCGCCCGGCAGAGGGAGAAACAGCCTGGAGCGCAAAGTACAGAAGCCAGTGTGTATTCCGTCGACTTGCCCCACCAGTGAGCTACAAAGTGAAAGTAAACATCCTAATTTTTAAAGTCTTATATCCACTGTGAGGAAACATAAACGTGTTCAAGGTAGTTAAAGTTTAGTTACAGTTTAGTTAAAGTAATTTACGTACTGATTTTCAATGCCATATATTCACTATGAGTAACCAGTAACGTGTGCAAGGACGTCAAAGTAAACGTCCTGATTTTCAAAGCCTTATGTCCACTACGAATAACCAGAAGCGTGTGCAAGGCAGTAAAATACATGCCCTGTTTTACTCACTATGAATAAGCAAAAAACAGTCACCAGAACTGCACAAATTTGTAAAATGTTACCGTTCCAACTTCAACTCATTCATTCCACGTGAAATTGTTAACGCGCTATTTACTTTGACAATCATCTGCCTGGATGAGAAATTCATACACCTTCTTGCCAGACTAAGAAAAACTTTTATCAATTTAGCAAAGAAGCAGAATACATCAATTGTTCCAAAATGTGGGCTATCCAGCCTTATCAGTTAGGTGTCTCCCAGACAACCGTTGGAAACTTACAAGATAGAAAACCATTTTGAGGTCTAATAATGCAATTTAAGTATCTTTATGGGGATACAAATTTAACGAATAATTGGTTTGACGCTAAAATAATAAATCTTACTGATAATTCGTTATTTTTCTCGGCGGTTTTGCTAAGCATATAAACAATACCTATGCTTTAGGAAATTTAGGTGGAGTTTGCCCGGATATTCTATTTATTTATTTATTTATTTATTTGTTTATTTATTTATTTATCTAACGTATTTACTTATTTTTGCTGTATATCGATACGCCTTGCAATGTATATCCTGATGAATTACTGTTCTTTTCCTTTCGCAGAAAAATACACAAAAATCACTATTATTATTATTATTATTATTATTATTATTATTATTATTATTAATGATTAATTAACTTACCGAATGCGTATTCAAACTGCTGGAACCACACCAATGCACTGGTAGTGTGTCCTATAGGTTGAGTCAAGCCGCAGATAGCTCCCAGACGCCGGTTAAGGTGACACGACCACAGCAATGCCCGGATGTCTTCGGCTGTAAACTCCATGTCAGCGTCCGTGACTAACACGTAGCCAGTCGGCTCTTTTACTTTCATCGTATCATCCTGGTTTCTCTGGTCACTGCTGCCATTGATAGGAGCTCCAATGTTTCTGTACCTGAGGACATAATTGAAGTACATGATTTGGCTCCATCGCTTTTTGTTTCGAATTTTCCTTGAATCTTTCAGGTGTACGAATAGCATGCTGGAACTGCTTCTACTGCCGTCCAAACGCCACCTGACCTGTACGCCGTAAGGAGTAGGAGACACACTGGAATCGCTGCTACCAAGAGAAAAATACGTCTGAATCAACTGAATCAACTGAGACGCATACGGCTTTAAGTGACCGTCACGTGCACCATCGTCCATGACCAGATGCGTTTCCACTTTGACGTCACTTAAAATATCATCAAGAAGGATGCATTTCAGACTGCATAGATACTTGGTGATTTCTTCCACAGTTTCCTGATACATTGTGGTGCATACATATAATGGCTCTGTGGAGTCTTCTGCACCTTGCATAAAACTGACATTCCCTTGTTCGAGACTCAGATTAAGAAACAGGAACTGTTCTAGGAATAGAAAGTTGACAGATGTCGACCGGAAGATCTTCTCGATAGGAAGTAAAAACGTACCGTTTGCTCTGTGGGTAAGCGACCGGTGTGTGCACGCGATAAACCACACAAGGACGCCGATAAAAAAAATCACGATTTCTGTTTTATCGGTCAAATAGTACTTTGCCTTTTGCTGATGGTTGTTGACAATAAGGTAGCCAATGAAGAAGCACATCAGAATCACGTGCGAGGCATTGAAAACCTGATGTTCCAAGCAGAGCTTAGCGCTTGTTGAGAATAATAGAAATGTTGAAGCTGCCACTAAAATCAAAACTGAAACAGTTGTAATGATTTCAACATCCACATAACTGAAATCTATATATCCAGTACCAACAGTGACACGGCGATAAACGAGGAGAACACAAAGCTTAGAAAAACTCTCTAATAACACTGTCATCTTCTGGTGTTCCTCTTTTTCTTTATTCATTTCCGGAGTTCCACTTTGGGATTTAGACTGCCGTAGATTCCAAAGTAAGGCAATCACACACTTCCCGAATACAAACAGCATAAACTGCTCCCAGGGCAAAGAGGACACAGTTGCCATGACAACTGCCAATGACACCGCTCCAAAGCAACGAAAGCCAAAATAAACCCAGGAGGACTCTGAGAAAGCAATATAACGGTCACGTATGTTATAGAACCACGATTTTGGTTTAGAGTTTAAGTCTCCCGAATGAATATCAGCTACGTTGCTGTTTCTGTCCAAGAAATCTAATGCAGATTTAGAGTTGTACTCTGGATCTGCCTTTTTTGTCTGGAAACCAGGGATGGGACCCGGAAGGAGAAGAAGGATATGTGGCGCCAGGAAGAGGACAGATACTGGCAGGTTGGGTAAAACGTTGGCGACGAGCAACAGCTGCGAGAGCATTTCAAACACGGCATAAAGCATAATCTGAAAAATACGTGAAACGTTACAGCTATATCATGCGTTTGCAACGCGTGTTAGATCTATATAGATAAATTAACCCTGAACATTTTAATACTTCCCTTAGTGGCCAATGTATCCAATAACCAAAAACTATTTAAAAATTCGATCCAAATTTAAGTTCTAAATTTTTTTTTTTTTTACCTGACGAGTCACTCGAATACAGAAATGAAGACTAGCCAATTTTACTGAAGACGGTAAGAATGATTTAGGCTTCATTCACATGCAATGTCTATTTTCTAAATTCTATTTTCTATTCGCGGTAGGGCTTATGATCACGGTCTGTGCCCTGAATATCCCGCGGCGTAATTACTGGCAGCACGAGCCAGTTACTATAAGTTACTTTAAGTAACTGGCTCGCGCTGCCAGTAATTACGCCCCGGGATATTCAGGGCACAGACCATGATCATAAGATACCGCGAATAGAAAATAGAATTTAGAAAATAGGCATTGCATGTGAATGAAGCCTAAGATTAGAACCCAAAGACGGGTTTATAGATCGTTATTGCTGAAATTTCCGAAATCATTTCTGTTATAATTCAAATCCAGGACGCATATATGTGACAATTTAGCTCAAAGATCGCATTCAGAACAGCGGACTAACAGATCCGCTGATCAAATATGGCCGACCCTCTTGAATGCTTGTTGCGTAATCCCCACGGGGAATCTATTCAGTGTCTAAGCGGGAATTNCACGACCCATGCGCCACTCACAACGCGGCAAATTTTCCTCTCGAATAATAACTACATCGCCGATCGCTAGATTTCGACGATGTTTCATCCATTTTGTACGACTTTGCAAATTCAGTAGAAACTCTCTTTTCCATCTTGCCCAGAACACACTCGCAAGGTACTGTACTCGTCGCCAACGTTTGCGAAGATACACATCTTCTCTCTGGAATACACCTGGTGGCGGAACGGTAACCCGTGATCTGAGCGTCAAAATGTGATTCGGAGTTAGAGAATCTTCATCACGCGGATCCATGGAGACTGTCGTCAGTGGTCTCGAGTTGATGATCGCTTCTACTTCACAGAGAAGAGTGTGAAAGGAGTCGGTGTCGAGCTGGGTTCCATGTTCTTGTAAAAGACCCGTGAGAACTTTCCTAACAGACCGTATCATGCGTTCCCATGACCCACCCATGTTACTTGCTGCAGGAGGG